GGTCCCCGTGCAGAACCCGAAGGGAACCACCAGTAAGATCATGGTGTCGGTGTGGGCCTTCTTCGCTGTGATCTTCCTGGCCAGCTACACCGCTAACCTCGCCGCCTTCATGATCCAGGAGGAGTACGTGGACCAGGTGTCGGGCCTCAGCGACAAGAAGGTGCGCTAGCGCTAGCACTCGTGCTCTTTCTCCTGGAGATGCTAGTCAATGTTTTCACACTGGAGTAAACCTGCTAACTCTGCTCACACAGGGGTTCCCAGCTTGTAACACTTGTGATCTGGGTCAAAAATGATCTGCCAAAAACTGCTTGTAAATCTCTCTTTATGATATGTTATCACCAAATATTGGATTCCATCTTTTTGTCAACTTGTTTTCTTTCAGTTAGCACAGGTTTAGTGTTTCTTCTTCGGACTGATGACTCGTAGGCCTCATTGCCCCGAGCTCATGCTCCTCCCATTACCTTGAGCTGTGTGAGGGGCAATGAGGCCTACGAGTCATCAGTCCAAAGAAGAAACACTAAACCTGTGCTAACTGAAAGAAAACAAGTTGACAAAAGTTTGAATCCAATATTTGGTGATAATATAGCATAAAGAGAACTTAATAAGCACACGGCTTATAAGGCGGGCCATTTTTGACCCGGAACTCCACATAAGGTAAATAAGGACTTTCAGGAAACGTTTAGTTTGGCAGAGCTTCACGCTCGGCTGTCGCTCACTCTCACACTGCTGGTGTCGTCTTCAGTTTCAGAGACCCAACGACTTCTCCCCGCCGTTTCGCTTCGGGACGGTCCCGAACGGCAGCACCGAGAGGAACATACGCAATAACTACAAAGAGATGCACTCCTACATGATCAAATTCCACCAGCGCAATGTGAACGAGGCTCTGTACAGTCTGAAGACAGGGTGAGGGAACCAGCCGATGAGCTCCTATTACTTCTTAAAGGGATAGCTCACCCAAAAATGAACATTTACTGTCCCTCAAGCCATCCTACGTGTATATGACGTTCTTCTTTCAGTCAAATACACTTTTATGATGGATAGATGCACTTTTATGATGGATAGATGCACTTTTATGATGGATAGATGCACTTTTATGATGGATAGATGCACTTTTATGATGGACAGATGCACTTTTATGATGGATAGATGCACTTTTATGATGGATAGATGCACTTTTATGATGGATAGATGCACTTTTATGATGGATAGATGCACTTTTATGATGGATAGATGCACTTTTATGATGGACAGATGCACTTTTATGATGGATAGATGCACTTTTATGATGGATAGATGCACTTTTATGATGGATAGATGCACTTTTATGATGGATAGATGCACTTTTATGATGGATAGATGCACTTTTATCATGGATAGATGCACTTTTATGATGGATAGATGCACTTTTATGATGGACAGATGCACTTTTATGATGGACAGATGCACTTTTATCATGGATAGATGCACTTTTATGATGGACAGATGCACTTTATGATGGACAGATGCACTTTTATGATGGATAGATGCACTTTTATGATGGACAGATGCACTTTTATGATGGACAGATGCACTTTTATCATGGATAGATGCACTTTTATGATGGACAGATGCACTTTTATGATGGACAGATGCACTTTTATGATGGACAGATGCACTTTTATGATGGACAGATGCACTTTATGATGGACAGATGCACTTTTATCATGGATAGATGCACTTTTATGATGGATAGATGCACTTTTATGATGGATAGATGCACTTTTATCATGGATAGATGCACTTTTATGATGGATAGATGCACTTTTATGATGGATAGATGCACTTTTATCATGGATAGCTGCACTTTTATGATGGATAGATGCACTTTTATGATGGACAGATGCACTTTTATGATGGACAGATGCACTTTTATCATGGATAGATGCACTTTTATGATGGATGGATGCACTTTTATGATGGACAGATGCACTTTTATCATGGATAGATGCACTTTTATGATTGATAGATGCACTTTTATGATGGATAGATGCACTTTTATGATGGATAGATGCACTTTTATGATGGATAGATGCACTTTTATGATGGATAGATGCACTTTTATGATGGATAGATGCACTTTTATCATGGATAGATGCACTTTTATGATGGATAGATGCACTTTTATGATGGATAGATGCACTTTTATGATGGACAGATGCACTTTTATCATGGATAGATGCACTTTTATGATGGATAGATGCACTTTTATGATGGACAGATGCACTTTTATGATGGATAGATGCACTTTTATGATGGATAGATGCACTTTTATCATGGATAGATGCACTTTTATGATGGATGGATGCACTTTTATGATGGACAGATGCACTTTTATCATGGATAGATGCACTTTTATGATGGATAGATGCACTTTTATGATGGACAGATGCACTTTTATGATGGACAGATGCACTTTTATCATGGATAGATGCACTTTTATGATGGATGGATGCACTTTTATGATGGACAGATGCACTTTTATCATGGATAGATGCACTTTTATGATGGATAGATGCACTTTTATGATGGACAGATGCACTTTTATGATGGATAGATGCACTTTTATGATGGACAGATGCACTTTTATGATGGATAGATGCACTTTTATGATGGATAGATGCACTTTTATCATGGATAGATGCACTTTTATGATGGACAGATGCACTTTTATGATGGACAGATGCACTTTTATGATGGATAGATGTACTTTTATGATGGATAGATGCACTTTTATGATGGATAGATGCACTTTTATGATGGATAGATGCACTTATATGATGGACAGATGCACTTTTATCATGGAAAGATGCACTTTTATGATGGATAGATGCACTTTTATGATGGATAGATGCACTTTTATGATGGATAGATGCACTTTTATGATGGACAGATGCACTTTTATGATGGACAGATGCACTTTTATGATGGACAGATGCACTTTTATGATGGATAGATGTACTTTTATGATGGATAGATGCACTTTTATGATGGATAGATGCACTTTTATGATGGATAGATGCACTTATATGATGGACAGATGCACTTTTATCATGGAAAGATGCACTTTTATGATGGATAGATGCACTTTTATGATGGATAGATGCACTTTTATGATGGATAGATGCACTTTTATGATGGACAGATGCACTTTTATGATTGACACATGCACTTTATGATGGACAGATGCACTTTTATGATGGACAGATGCACTTTTATGATGGATAGATGCACTTTTATGATGGATAGATGCACTTTTATCATGGATAGATGCACTTTTATGATGGACAGATGCACTTTTATGATGGACAGATGCACTTTTATGATGGATAGATGTACTTTTATGATGGATAGATGCACTTTTATGATGGATAGATGCACTTATATGATGGACAGATGCACTTTTATCATGGAAAGATGCACTTTTATGATGGATAGATGCACTTTTATGATGGATAGATGCACTTTTATGATGGATAGATGCACTTTTATGATGGACAGATGCACTTTTATGATTGACACATGCACTTTATGATGGACAGATGCACTTTTATGATGGACAGATGCACTTTTATGATGGACACATGCACTTTATGATGGATAGATGCACTTTATGATGGACAGATGCACTTTTATGATGGACAGATGCACTTTTATGATGGATGGATGCACTTTTATGATGGATAGATGCACTTTTATGATGGATAGATGCACTTTTATGATGGACAGATGCACTTTTATGATGGATAGATGCACTTTTATGATGGACAGATGCACTTTTATGATGGACAGATGCACTTTTATGATGGACAGATGCACTTTTATCATGGACAGATGCACTTTTATGATGGATAGATGCACTTTTTTGATGGATAGATGCACTTTTATGATGGACAGATGCACTTTTATGATGGATAGATGCACTTTCATGATGGATAGATGCACTTTCATGATGGATAGATGCACTTTTATGATGGACAGATGCACTTTTATGATGGACAGATGCACTTTTATGATGGATAGATGCACTTTCATGATGGATAGATGCACTTTTATGATGGATAGATGCACTTTTATGATGGACAGATGCACTTTTATGATGGACAGATGCACTTTTATGATGGATGGATGCACTTTTATGATGGACAGAGGCACTTTTATGATGGATAGATGCACTTTTATCATGGATGGATGCACTTTTATGATGGACAGATGCACTTTTATCATGGATAGATGCACTTTTATGATGGATAGATGCACTTTCATGATGGATAGATGCACTTTTATGATGGATAGATGCACTTTTATGATGGACAGATGCACTTTTATGATGGATAGATGCACTTTTATGATGGATAGATGCACTTTTATGATGGACAGATGCACTTTATGATGGACAGATGCACTTTTATGATGGATAGATGCACTTTTATGATGGACAGATACACTTTTATGATGGACAGATGCACTTTTATGATGGACAGATGCACTTTTATCATGGATAGATGCACTTTTATGATGGACAGATGCACTTTTATGATGGACAGATGCACTTTTATGATGGACAGATGCACTTTTATGAAGGATAGATGCACTTTTATGATGGACAGATACACTTTTATGATGGACAGATGCACTTTTATGATGGACAGATGCACTTTTATCATGGATAGATGCACTTTTATGATGGACAGATGCACTTTTATGATGGACAGATGCACTTTTATGATGGACAGATGCACTTTTATCATGGATAGATGCACTTTTATGATGGACAGATGCACTTTTATGATGGACAGATGCACTTTTATGATGGACAGATGCACTTTTATGATGGACAGATGCACTTTTATGATGGATAGATGCACTTTTATGATGGACAGATGCACTTTATGATGGACAGATGCACTTTTATCATGGATAGATGCACTTTTATCATGGATAGATGCACTTTTATGATGGATAGATGCACTTTTATGATGGACAAATGCACTTTTATGATGGACAGATGCACTTTTATCATGGAAAGATGCACTTTTATGATGGATAGATGCACTTTTATGATGGATAGATTCACTTTTTTGATGGATAGATGCACTTTTATGATGGATAGATGCACTTTTATGATGGACACATGCACTTTATGATGGACAGATGCACTTTTATGATGGACAGATGCACTTTTATGATGGACACATGCACTTTATGATGGACAGATGCACTTTTATGATTGACACATGCACTTTATGATGGACAGATGCACTTTTATGATGGACAGATGCACTTTTATGATGGACACATGCACTTTATGATGGACAGATGCACTTTTATGATTGACACATGCACTTTATGATGGATAGATGCACTTTATGATGGACAGATGCACTTTTATGATGGACAGATGCACTTTTATGATGGACAGATGCACTTTTATGATGGATGGATGCACTTTTATGATGGATAGTGATGGACAGATGCACTTTTATGATGGATGGATGCACTTTTATGATGGATAGATGCACTTTTATGATGGATAGATGCACTTTTATGATGGACAGATGCACTTTTGTGATGGATAGATGCACTTTTATGATGGACAGATGCACTTTTATGATGGATAGATGCACGTTTATGATGGACAGATGCACTTTTATGATGGACAGATGCACTTTTATGATGGATAGATGCACTTTTATGATGGACAGATGCACTTTTATGATGTACAGATGCACTTTTATGATGGATAGATGCACGTTTATGATGGACAGATGCACTTTTATGATGGACAGATGCACTTTTGTGATGGATAGATGCACTTTTATGATGGACAGATGCACTTTTATGATGGATAGATGCACTTTTGTGATGGATAGATGCACTTTTATGATGGACAGATGCACTTTTATGATGGATAGATGCACTTTTGTGATGGATAGATGCACGTTTATGATGGACAGATGCACTTTTATGATGGATAGATGCACTTTTGTGATGGATAGATGCACGTTTATGATGGACAGATGCACTTTTATGATGGATAGATGCACTTTTGTGATGGATAGATGCACTTTTATGATGGACAGATGCACTTTTATGATGGATAGATGCACGTTTATGATGGACAGATGCACTTTTATGATGGACAGATGCACTTTTATGATGGATAGATGCACTTTTATGATGGACAGATGCACTTTTATGATGTACAGATGCACTTTTATGATGGATAGATGCACGTTTATGATGGACAGATGCACTTTTATGATGGATAGATGCACTTTTATGATGGATAGATGCACTTTTATGATGGACAGATGCACTTTTATGATGGACAGATGCACTTTTATGATGGACAGATGCTCTTTTATGATGGACAGATGCACTTTTATGATGGACAGATGCACTTTTATGATGGACAGATGCACTTTTATGATGGATAGATGCACTTTTATGATGGACAGATGCACTTTTATGATGGATAGATGCACTTTTATGATGGATAGATGCACTTTTATGATGGACAGGTGCACTTTTATGATGGACAGATGCACTTTTATGATGGACAGATGCACGTTTATGATGGATAGATGCACTTTTATGATGTATAGATGCACTTTTATGATGGATAGATGCACTTTATGATGGATAGATGCACTTTTATGATGGACAGATGCACTTTTATGATGGATAGATGCACTTTTATGATGGATAGATGCACTTTTATGATGGATAGATGCACTTTTATGATGGACAGATGCACTTTTATGATGGACAGATGCACTTTTATGATGGATAGATGCACTTTTATGATGGATAGATGCACTTTTATGATGGATAGATGCACTTTTATGATGGATAGATGCACTTTTATGATGGACAGATGCACTTTTATGATGGATAGATGCACTTTTATGATGGATAGATGCACTTTTATGATGGATAGATGCACTTTTATGATGGATAGATGCACTTTTATGATGGACAGATGCACTTTTATGATGGACAGATGCACTTTTATGATGGACAGATGCACTTTTATGATGGATAGATGCAGTTTTATGATAGACAGATGCACTTTTATGATGGACAGATGCACTTTTATGATGGATAGATGCACTTTTATGATGGACAGATGCACTTTTATGATGGATAGATGCACTTTTATGATGGATAGATGCACTTTTATGATGGATAGATGCACTTTTATGATGGACAGATGCACTTTTATGATGGACAGATGCACTTTTATGATGGATAGATGCACGTTTATGATGGACAGATGCACTTTTATCATGGAAAGATGCACTTTTATGATGGACAGATGCACTTTTATGATGGATAGATGCACTTTTATGATGGATAGATGCACTTTTATGATGGACAGATGCACTTTATGATGGACAGATGCACTTTTATGATGGATAGATGCACTTTTATGATGGACAGATGCACTTTTATGATGGACACATGCACTTTATGATGGATAGATGCACTTTTATGATGGACAGATGCACTTTTATGATGGACACATGCACTTTATGATGGATAGATGCACTTTATGATGGACAGATGCACTTTTATGATGGACAGATGCACTTTTGTGATGGATAGATGCACTTTTATGATGGACAGATGCACTTTGATGATGGATAGATCCACTTTTATGATGGATAGATGCACTTTTATGATGCATGGATGCACTTTTATGATGGATAGATGCACTTTTATGATGGACAGATGCACTTTTATGATGGATAGATGCACTTTTATGATGGACAGATGCACTTTTATGATGATAGATGCACTTTTATGATGGACAGATGCACTTTTATGATGTACAGATGCACTTTTATGATGGATAGATGCACTTTATGATGGATAGATGCACTTTTATGATGGACAGATGCACTTTTATGATGGATAGATGCACTTTTATCATGGATAGATGCACTTTTATGATGAATAGATGCACTTTTATGATGGATAGATGCACTTTTATGATGGATAGATGCACTTTTATGGTGGATAGATGCACTTTTATGATGGACAGATGCACTTTTATGATGGACAGATGCACTTTTATGATGGACAGATGCACTTTTATGGTGGATAGATGCACTTTTATGATGGACAGATGCACTTTTATGATGGACAGATCCACTTTTTTGATGGACAGATGCTCTTTTATGATGGATAGATGCACTTTTATGATGGATAGATGCACTTTTATGATGGATAGATGCACTTTTATGATGGACAGATGCACTTTTATGATGGATAGATGCACTTTTATGATGGACAGATGCACTTTTATGATGGACAGATGCACTTTTTTGATGGATAGATGCACTTTTATGATGGACAGATGCACTTTTATGATGGATAGATGCACTTTTATGATGGACAGATGCACTTTTATGATGGACAGATGCACTTTTTTGATGGACAGATGCTCTTTTATGATGGACAGATGCACTTTTATGGTGGATAGATGCACTTTTATGATGGACAGATGCACTTTTATGATGGACAGATGCACTTTTTTGATGGACAGATGCTCTTTTATGATGGATAGATGCACTTTTATGATGGATAGATGCACTTTTATGATGGACAGATGCACTTTTATGATGGACAGATGCACTTTTTTGATGGACAGATGCACTTTTATGATGGATAGATGCACTTTTATGATGGATAGATGCACTTTTATGATGGACAGATGCACTTTTATGATGGACAGATGCACTTTTATGATGGATAGATGCACTTTTATGATGGACAGATGCACTTTTATGATGGACAGATGCACTTTTTTGATGGATAGATGCACTTTTATGATGGACAGATGCACTTTTATGATGGATAGATGCACTTTTATGATGGACAGATGCACTTTTATGATGGACAGATGCACTTTTTTGATGGACAGATGCTCTTTTATGATGGATAGATGCACTTTTATGATGGATAGATGCACTTTTATGATGGACAGATGCACTTTTATGATGGATAGATGCACTTTTATGATGGATAGATGCACTTTTATGATGGATAGATGCACTTTTATGATGGATAGATGCACTTTTATGATGGACAGATGCACTTTTATGATGGACAGATGCACTTTTATGATGGACAGATGCACTTTTATGATGGACAGATGCACTTTTATGATGGACAGATGCACTTTTTTGATGAATAGATGCACTTTTATGATGGACAGATGCACTTTTATGATGGACAGATGCACTTTTATGATGGATAGATGCACTTTTATGATGGACAGATGCACTTTTTTGATGGATAGATGCTCTTTTATGATGGACAGATGCACTTTTATGATGGACAGATGCACTTTTATGATGGATAGATGCACTTTTATGATGGATGGATGCACTTTGATGGACTTCTAAAAACATACACCCATTCACTCCCATTTTAATGATTTGAAGAGCCAGGACATGTTTTAATATAACTCTGATTGTATTTGTCTGAAAGAAGAATGTCATACACACCTGGCTTGAGGGAGAGTAAATCATGGGGAAATTTCCATTTTTGGGTGAACTAACTCTTTAAAGAGTAACATAATGGATGTATAAACGCCACTGTGGTTCTGAACGCTCTGACGCCTGGTGTTTCGCTCACAGTAAGCTGGATGCCTTCATCTACGACGCTGCGGTGCTGAACTACATGGCGGGCCGAGACGAGGGCTGTAAGCTGGTCACCATCGGCTCCGGGAAAGTGTTCGCGTCCACCGGCTACGGCATCGCCATCCAGAAGGACTCGGTGTGGAAGAGACAAGTGGACCTCGCCATCCTGCAGCTCTTCGGAGACGGTACACACACACACACACACACTCACTCTCACACACACACACACACACACTTCAGTTCTGCCTGTTCTGCTCGTGGAGATGACCAGTTGACATTATTTTTGTACAACAGCAGGGTTTGACATTAACTTTTTCACACACCGGCCAATTTGGCAACTAAAGTGGCAACATTAATTTCTTATTCAAACTAAATCCTGTCATCCAGCATCTCCTCTTCTTCTTTCATGTGAAAGAAGTTCAATTCTTCGCTGTTGCTTCAATGCAAATGAAGGAGCGCGCCGTTATGTGTTGTGTAGTGACGTGTGTGTTCACGCAAGCCAGATATGAGCAGATTCTGCACAATACGCTGTATTTAATATATCATGATGACTCACGAGTATTTGCGCTAAATCGGCGCAGATTTAGCTTACACGAACTTCCCCAGCAAAGTGAGTAAACGTAATAAGTAACGCCACCCTGGCTGGTGATTTGACAGCGTTTCCCGCCACAGCTGATTTATACCCGCATGTGGCGAGTGTTAGATTCGAACCCTGCACAACAGCTCATGTTGAGTCATCAGATGAACAATGATGTGCCAATAGTTTAGTAGTACACACATAATCAGGCGACCCTCGGTGAACACACACCATGTGTTAATGCACACCAGAAAATAGCTTATTGCGAAAATCTGCTATAGACACAAAAGCCGCGTGTTAGCATGTTAGCGTGTTAGCGGCATGTTCTGGAAGTGTTAGCGCACCTCTAGTTCGCCTGCGTTATACATGTACGATCACTGATCAATGTTTATAGTTCACGTGTTGGGATCTTTATTGCTCTAGTAAAAAGATGTCGATTAAGCTCAGCTCTTGTTATTACTGGATGGCATTTAGTTTTGTAGTTTGTTTAGTATCAGAAATGATGTTTGCATTTTGTCTCATGTTATATTGACAGTAGTCGTACCTGAGAACACTCTGCAAACATTGTGAAATATTATTTTGCTCATCACAAAGTCACTCTTCTGAAAGCTCCTTTAGGTTCATGATTGGCTGGAAATTTGACATTTTGTTCGGATTGTGCTTTTGCTTCTTGGTCTTGTTTTTTTTAAGTTTAGGATTTTGTTTCTATGGGGTCCCTGGGAGTCATTTCTACTTTTTCTGGGTCCTGTGTTTAACAGATTTGTCGTAGCAGCATAAGGTTACCCCTGGATATGCTGTTTCCAGTTGTGTTCAGTTGAATTGATATCTTGTGTATTGATAGTCCTCATGTTTTCAACTGTGGTGAGTTTATGTTTATATCAGTCCTTTGTCTCAGCTTTGAATCCTGCATTTGTCTGCCAGCACCTGTGACTCTCCTGAGCCTTTGTCACACACACAAACCCCTCACTCTTGATATCATGTGTGTGTGTGTGTGTGTGTGTGTGTGTGTGTGTCTCAGGTGACATGGAGGAGTTTGAGGCTCTCTGGCTGACGGGGATCTGCCATCACGAGAAGAATGAAGTGATGAGCAGTCAGCTGGACGTGGATAACATGGCCGGTGTGTTCTACATGCTGGGAGCCGCCATGGCCCTCTCGCTCATCACCTTCATCGCTGAACACGTCTTCTACTGGCACCTGCGCTTCTGCTTCATGGGCGTGTTCTCCGGCAAACCTGGATTCACCTACACCATCAGCAGGGTACGTATGAAACACACGCTGAACATTAGAACCGGAGAAGTGCAGCGTGGCAAAACACTGTTTCAAGACACGATTATGCTAGAAATAATGTTGTGTTAAAGGGATAGTTCACCCAAAAATGAAAATAAGCCCATGATTTACTCAGAATCAGAAATACTTTATTGATACCAGAGGGGAAATTCTTTGTCACAATTGCACACCTGTCAAGGCATAAGGAAAATAAATAGTAATAAAAAGTAGATACATAAGAACTGTCCATGATAAAAGATCATCCATCATAAAAGTGCATCCATCCATCATAAAAGTGCATCCATCCATCATAAAAGTGCATCTATCCATCATAAAAGTGCATCCATCCATCATAAAAGTGCATCTATCCATCATAAAAGTGCATCTATCCATCATAAAAGTGCATCTATCCATCATAAAAGTGCATCTATCTATCATAAAAGTGCATCTATCCATCATAAAAGTGCATCCATCCATCATAAAAGTGCATCTATCATAAAAGTGCATCTATCCATCATAAAAGTGCATCTATCATAAAAGTGCATCTGTCCATCATACAAGTGCATCAATCCATCATAAAAGTGCATCTATCCATCATAAAAGTGCATCCATCCATCATAAAAGTGCATCCATCCATCATAAAAGTGCATCTATCCATCATAAAAGTGCATCTGTCCATCATAAAAGTGCATCTATCCATCATAAAAGTGCATCTATCCATCATAAAAGTGCATCTGTCCATCATAAAAGTGCATCTGTCCATCATAAAAGTGGTTCTGTCCATCATAAAAGTGCATCTATCCATCATAAAAGTGCATCTATCTATCATAAAAGTGCATCTATCCATCATAAAAGTGCATCTATCATAAAAGTGCATCTATCCATCATAAAAGTGCATCTGTCCATCATAAAAGTGCATCTATCCATCATAAAAGTGCATCTATCCATCATAAAAGTGCATCTGTCCATCATAAAAGTGCATCTATCCATCATAAAAGTGCATCTATCCATCATAAAAGTGCATCTATCCATCATAAAAGTGCATCTGTCCATCATAAAAGTGCATCTGTCCATCATAAAAGTGCATCTATCCATCATAAAAGTGCATCTATCATAAAAGTGCATCTATCCATCCATCATAAAAGTGCATCTATCCATCATAAAAGTGCATCCATCCATCATAAAAGTGCATCCATCCATCATAAAAGTGCATCTATCCACCATAAAAGTGCATCTATCCATCATAAAAGTGCATCTATCCATCATAAAAGTGCATCTATCCACCATAAAAGTGCATCTGTCCATCATGAAAGTCCATCTATCCATCATAAAAGTGCTTCTGTCCATCATAAAAGTGCATCCATCCATGATACAATTGCATCCATCCATGATAAAAGTGCATCTATCCATGATAAAAGTGCATCTGTCCATCATAAAAGTGCATCCATCCATGATAAAAGTGCTTCTGTCCTTCATAAAAGTGCATCCATCCATGATAAAACTGCATCTATCCATCATAAAAGTGCCTCTGTCCATCATAAAAGTGCATCCATCCATCATAAAAGTGCATCTGTCCATCATAAAAGTGCATCCATCCATCATAAAAGTGCATCTATCCATCATAAAAGTGCATCTATCCATCATAAAAGTGCATCTGTCCATCATAAAAGTGCATCTATTCATCATAAAAGTGCATCTATTCATCATAAAAGTTCATCTGTCCATCATAAAAGTGCATCTGTCCATCATAAAAGTGCATCTATCCATCATAAAAGTGCATCTATCCATCATAAAAGGGCATCTGTCCATCATAAAAGTGCATCTATCCATCATAAAAGTGCATCTGTCCATCATAAAAGTGCATCTATCCATCATAAAAGTGCATCTATCCATCATAAAAGTGCATCTGTCCATCATAAAAGTGCATCTGTCCATCATAAAAGTGCATCTTTCCATCATAAAAGTGCATCTGTCCATCATAAAAGTGCATCTGTCCATCATAAAAGTGCATCTATCCATCATAAAAGTGCATCTATCCATCATAAAAGTGCATCTGTCCATCATAAAAGTGCATCTATCCATCATAAAAGTGCATCTGTCCATCATAAAAGTGCATCTGTCCGTCATAAAAGTGCATCTGTCCATCATAAAAGTGCATCTGTCCATCATAAAAGTGCATCTATCCATCATAAAAGTGCATCTGTCCATCATAAAAGTGCATCTGTCCATCATAAAAGTGCATCTGTCCATCATAAAAGTGCATCTATCCATGATTATGGGAGTTAATAAAGGCCTCCTGAAGCGAAGCCATGGTTTTTTGTAAGAAAAATATCCATATTTATAACTTTATAATCTAAAATAACTAGCTTCCGCCAGACGACCGTATGCATACAACACACGTCTGTTTTGCTCATCCCTTTGAGCTTCCGTGTTCGTCATTATGTTTGCATTACGATTGTATTCGATTGTATTCGTGTATTCAATTGTATTCGGTTGTATTACGATTGTATTCGTCTGAAAGAAGAATGTCACATACACCTAGGATGACTTCAGCGTGAGTAAATCATTTGGGTGAACTATCCCTTTAACGGCAACTCTGAACACTGAAACTTCTTTCTCTTCCTCTCTCAGGAGATTTACAGCTGCATTCACGGAGTGGAAATCGAAGAGAAGAGTTCGGATCTGAACTCCCCCTCCGCCACGATGAACAACACCCACTCCAACATCCTACGTCTGCTGCGCACGGCCAAGAACATGGCGTCTCTGTCCGGGGTCAACGGCTCTCCGCACAGCGCACTGGACTTCATCCGCCGCGAGTCCTCAGTGTACGACATCAGCGAGCAGCGCCGGAGCCTGGCCGGGCCCTCGGACTGCAAGAGCCCATACCTGCCCGAGGACAACATGTTCAGCGACTACATCAGCGAGGTGGAGCGCACCTTCGGGAACCTGCACCTGAAGGACAGCAACCTGTACCAGGAGCACTACCGGCTCCACCACGGGGGCTCTGCGCTGGGGCTGACGGAGGGCCCCGGGCCCCGGAGCCTGGGCTCCAGCAGCTCTCTGGAGGAGGGTCTGTTCGACTGCGACGGCCCCAGTGGAGGACCCATCTTCAGCACCCAGCCCAGATCTGCCCTCACACACAGGAACATGAGCAAGTTCGACCTGCTCCACAGCCAGACTCCTCCGACCGGCCCTGGCTTGAAGCAAGGGCTTGCCGAGCTCTACGGAAAGTTCTCCTTTAAAGGCGGAGCGTCCAGTTCGGGGTATATCGCGGGGCATCACCACGGAGCCGACGACGGAAACATCCGCTCCGATGTGTCTGACATTTCAACTCACACCGTGACTTACGGAAACCTGGAGGGCAATGCTAAGAAGCGTAAGCAGTACAGAGATAGCCTGAAGAAGCGGCCCGCGTCGGCGAAGTCCCGGCGTGAATTGGACGAGCTCGAGATGGGTCACCGGCGCCGCCAGCACCACCATTATCACCATCACGGGCAACGCTCCAACTCTCCTCCGTCTAAGAGCAAGCGAGGTGGCCGCGTAAACTCCTCCTCATACCTGTTACAGGACAAGGAGAGCCTGAGGGATTTCTACCTGGACCAGTTCCGGCCCAAAGAAGGCATCCCGCAGTGGGAGCACGTGGACCTCACAGACGGGCCCGGTGGAGGGAACTGCACCAGCCTGGTGTCGGTGGACGACTTCTTGAAGAGCAAGCCCAAGAAGCCGGAGGGCCAGAGCGAGTGGGAGTGCCGCAGCTGTCGAGCTAGCAGTGCGGGGAGCAAGCAGACGGGGCACGTGGGCGGGACGGGTTACTGTGTGGCGTCGGGAGGAGTCGGGAGTCGACCCAGTTCTGCCACATGCATGCGGTGCGAAGCCTGCAAGAAGTCCGGGAACCTGTACGACATCAGCGAGGACAGTAACCACCTGTTGGACCAGCTGACGCCGGCGCAGCGCCGCAGGGCGTTCAGTGGGAAACCGCTACGCCGACAGCACTCCTACGACGCCTTCGTGGACCTGCAGAGGGAGCAGTCCGGCGTGCCGGCGCCGGGGTGTGGCGTAGCCGGCGTGATCCCGCTGCCACCGCGCAGCGTCAGCCTCAAGGAGAGGGAGCGCTGCATGGACGGGCCCTTCGCACACATGTTGCAGTTCCCCGAGCCAGAGCCCGAGCAAGACCCGCTGTTCTACGGCGCCGCCGGGAAGAGCCCGTTCGGATTGTTCCCGCACCGGCGCTCGGTTGGGGAGCGGGATCTGAGGAACAGAGGACTCATGGAGGGGCCAGCTCACTCCTTATCCAAATCCCTCTACCCCGACCGCACCGACCACAACCCCTTCATCCCCACGTTTGGAGACGACCAGTGTCTCCTGCACGGTGCCAAGTCCTGCTACTCCACCACGCAGCACCAGCAGGGCGATGTGTACGGGAACATTGGCTCGACCTCATTCCTGCCGGCGTCGGGAGGCTTGTCTAACCTAGCTCCTCGCTTCCCAGTGGAGATGTGCATGGGGAACCACTACACCAGCAAGCTCAGTCTCGGCCCGCCGCGGCCCTTCAACGGCAGCAACGGACACGTGTACGAGAAGCTCTCCAGCATAGAGTCCGATGTGTGAAACAGGGAGAGGAAAGGACAGATCTAACAGAACACGCAGAACTTGAGAGATTTGAACATGTAATTTCCTGTGAAGTTCACGTCCACACCAATAGCGGTGAGAACAAGAGCTCGGCCATCTGTCGAGTGTGTGAGATGTCAGATGGCCTCTCTCCATCCTCACATCTAACAGCCCAGTCCTGTACTCTTGTCTTTTGTGAACTCATAAAAGCATGATTGATTTTTCTGAAACAGGGTAATAACTGCACCGCAGAGACGCTGCTGACTGGAAATCTGTTGTTGAAATGGGGTCTGTTCTTTTCTTGCTCTAGAGGCCTTCGGTGAGCGTTAGGGATGTTTGAATGTGATGATCAATCCAGTCTCCACATCACGCTAATGTATCCATGGCAACAGCCTCTCCCATGCTGTTTACTGCCCTGAAACACGTGTGCGTCGGTGAAAGTGCACACGCCTCTGCCATCCTTTATACTCGAGTCTCCACTGCCGTGATGTTTCATATCCAACGAGAAGCCTTCCGTTTCCTTCACACGCTCATGTCTCCGGACTCTTCGAACGAAGGCTGAAACAACAGTATTGACGCCTCTCTTTGTTTTGGTTGTAAATACTTTTCTCTTTATATATAAGCCTACAAGGTCGACCTTTAATATAGCTTTTTCAAGTATAACAATAACCAAAATAAAGACAAAAACAGAACAAAATACACAAAAACATAAAATATGCAAAATTTAGCAAAAGCATTATAATTCATGATAAGCGGTATTTTAAGCGATAGTCTGCTTTTTAAATTCATGTTTATTACTTAACTCTGATAGTTTACTGCCTCCTAACCAGCTTGATTTTAAGGATTTACCTTTATTGGTTTCAGCGCAGTGTAACAGAGCTGAGACGTGCTGTCGTGGCTCATTTACTCGATTAGTTTGCCGAATACTCCTTGCCAAGTTTCTCTTGAACTGTGTGGAAGCGTCTGGTCATCTCTCGGAGAAGCTTTCCAGGCTATCTCTAACAAACACACACCTTTACTTCGCTATGTGAAGGAGGACTTTTCTAGGCACGCTTGTTTTCGCCACAGGACAAAAAATAAAAAAGGTAATTGCGACTTTTCCCAATTCTGAGGAAAAAAAAGTCAATTTTGAGAAACTCTATGATACAAGCTCCAATTCTGACTTTATTTCTTGCAAATGCAAATTTATATCTTGCGATTCTCATATTATAGCTTGCAATTAATATAAACTCTCGTAATTCTCACTTTATAACTCACAATTACGAATTTACAGGCCTATCTCAATTGTGAGAAAAAGTCAATTTTGAGAATTATTATATATTATTTCGCAATTCTGAGAAATTATATATAATATAAACTCGTGATTCTGACTTTATTTCTCACAGACGCAAATGTATATAATAATTCTCACTTTAAATAAATTTAAATATATTAAATATATTATACAAAGTAAATTCTGAGAAATATTATATAATATAAACGTTTTATTCGTAAAATGCTCGTAATTGTGAATTGTGAGAGATAAACATGCAATTCTGACTTTTTTCTCTCACAATTTTAATTGTGACTTTATAACGAATTATGAGATAAAAAGTCACAGTTACCTTATTATTTTTTGATTCTGTGGCATAAACAAGCTTCTAAGTATCAGAGACTTCAGTTGTTTACATATAAAGCTAATTATAAACGTTGAAAAGTGTTTTTGTCTGATATAGCTAACAATCGTCTTCAAAGTGTAGCGGAGTAAACACACACACACACACACACACACACACACACAGGTCTCCAGCATCCTCAAAGCAGGGCTAATTTAACCCTTTCTAACGACTGACTGTCTTGTAAAGCTAAGGTATGTTGATAGAGTGTGTCATGTTCTCTGATTGTAATGCGATGGTGAGGTCCTGTCCTCGCTTTAGGTCTATAGCGCAGAATAACATCTCATCTCCAGTTAGAGGAACTCTAACCATGTCTTTAACCTTTCTTTTTAGAGCATTATTATTATCATCATTATTATTATTATTATTATAATGAAGCGTTTTAGGGTGTTTTCTTCTGGTATGTTGAAGCCGGCGGTGTAAATGTTCCCTACTGATCTATGTTAGAGTTTTCCTAAAAACAGTTTAGATTCAAACAAACACACACACACACACACACACTCACTCTCTCACACACACACACACACACACACACACACGCTTCCCTACATGCTTATAGCTTGAGCTCTATATGCTTAAAAAATCACATTTTCCTGTGTTCATAGAGAAATACGCCTATTACGCATAGCTGTAGTTATAATTTTTCTAGTGTATTCGCAATATATAAGCAACTTCTAACGTTCTGTTGACTACTATATTCTCATTATTCTAAAGTAAGTATAGCTGGTCTGAAGTATTAATCTACAGGTAAGAAACGCCCAGTCGTTTATTCCCTCCATCCGTTATTTCAGTGAACGTGTTGATAAGGACACGCGTGTGCGTGTGACTTCTGTGTTAAACACTCTTGTTGCTATGGCGCTGCCATGGTGTTACGATGCTGTTCCCATGGTAACTGCAGTGCAAGAGGATGCGGGCTGAATGAGTGAATTGTTTCACTATGGAATAAGAGCTACATCCACTTTGATATGTTACCAAAATTTTTACGTCATTTACATCTCTGAAATGATTCTCAAGTGAATACATGTACAGATTGTGTATATAATAATGTGAGATTTCCTCCTTTTGTATGACAATATGAACACAAACCTCTATGAGACTTTAATAGTGAGAGAGTGTTTTGATGATGATGATGATGATGATGATTATGACGGATCAGAATTCTTTCACTGAATAAAGCGAATTAAAAAACACATGCATCTTCTCTCTGTAAATTGATGATTAAAAGAAAGAACAATGATGTGCACAGACCAGTCATGTATAATAATGCAATATTCCCTAAAAAAGAAGGCCGTGGATTTCCTGGTGAGGTGTAAGGCGGCGTGCAGCGGCCTCTGGCCAGTGTGCAGTGAGTAGCGTTCTCGTTCGTGTTTTAGCACACACACTCGCTCAGCTCGTCATATCATCCACCCGTTAGTCTTATTAATTTCTCCCTCACGTAGGAGAAAGAGGCTTATGAAATATTGATAGACAGAGAGAGAGAGACAGAGAGGGGGGAGGACGAGACAATCTTCCTGACAACTAGCTCTGGCACTCCAAGATGGGGAGACGTGGAAACATAATTTTCAAGAATTAAATAGCTCAGATTCAGTCCGATATAAAGCCCTCGATCCGGAGTCAGTCCGATATAAAGCCCTCGATCCGGAGTCAGTCCGATATAAAGCCCTCGATCCGGAGTCAGTCCGATATAAAGCCCCCGATCCGGAGTCAGTCCGATATAAAGCCCCCGATCCGGAGTCAGTCCGATATAAAGCCCCCGATCCGGAGTCAGTCCAATATAAAGCCCTCGATCCGGAGTCAGTCCGATATAAAGCCCTCGATCCGGAGTCAGTCCGATATAAAGCCCCCGATCCGGAGTCAGTCCGATATAAAGCCCCCGATCCGGAGTCAGTCCGATATAAAGCCCCCGATCCGGAGTCAGTCCGATATAAAGCCCCCGATCCGGAGTCAGTCCGATATAAAGCCCTCGATCCGGAGTCAGTCCGATATAAAGCCCCCGATCCGGAGTCAGTCCGATATAAAGCCCCCGATCCGGAGTCAGTCCGATATAAAGCCCTCGATCCGGAGTCAGTCCGATATAAAGCCCCCGATCCGGAGTCAGTCCGATATAAAGCCCCCGATCCGGAGTCAGTCCGATATAAAGCCCTCGATCCGGAGTCAGTCCGATATAAAGCCCCCGATCCGGAGTCAGCGCTTTTAACAATGTAGATTGTTCCAAAGCAGCTTTACAGTGATAATAGGAAATTAAAGCAACAGAGATTGTTTTGGCTTTATGACAGCTCTAGAATAAAGTTATTTTCCAGTTAAAGTTAGTAGCCACGTGAACCGGAATTATCCCGACAACGATGTGTGTGTGTGTGTGTGTGTGTGTCTAGGCGCAGGTCTGGTCTTTATCAGATCTGGTGTGTGTGTGTGTGTGTGGGGATGTTCAAATTAAATGACCCATCACACCACTGATCAGCTCTACCTAACTTGGATGTCTTTTTCCAGTAATAAACAAACACTGTTAAGTTGTTTTGATTGATACTGTGAAGCAGCTTTGATACAATCTGTATTGTGAAAAGCACTATAAATATATTTGACTTGACTTGACTTGACTGTGTGTGTGTGTGTGTGTGTGTGAGTGAGTGAGTGAGTGAGTGTGTGAGTGTGTGAGTGTGTGTGTGTGTGTGTCCAGGTGCAGGTCCTTCATCCGATCTAGAGTGTGTGTGTGTGTGTGAGTGTGTGTGTCCAGGCGCAGGTCCTTCATCAGATCTGGATTCGGCAGGCTGCGGGAAAACCTCGGGATAAACAGACACTAATATTAGCGTAGATGCCATTCTTCTTATGATGTAACGAGTACATCAGGATTTAAGGGAAGTGTTCCCAGTTCCGGCTGACCTAATCTATGCAGCCTAACATTGAATTATAGAAGTCTATAATGTATTATGTGTATGCTAGGTCAAAGAGATGTGTTTTTAGTCTAGCTTTGAACTGACAGAGTGTGTCTGCTTCCCGGACAATGGTAGGAAGACTGTTCCAGAGTTTTGGTGCTAAATAGGAAAAGGATCTACCGCCAGCAGTCGATTTAGATATTCTAGGTATTATCAACTGGCCGGAGTTTAGAGATCGCAATAGACGTGAAGGACTATAATGCGTTAAGAGCTCGCTCAAGTACTGGGAGCTAAACCATTTAGTGCTTTGTAAGTAATCAGCAATATTTTAAAATTTATACGATGTTTAATAGGGAGCCAATGCAGTGTTGACAGAACCGGGCTAATATGGTCATATTTCCTGGTTCTGGTAAGAACTCGAGCTGCGGCGTTTTGAACTAGCTGTAGTTTGTTTATTAAGCGTGCAGGGCAACCACCCAGTAGAGCATTACAGTAATCTAGCCTTGAGGTCATGAACGCATGGACTAATTGTTCCGCATTTGTCAATGAGAGCATATGACGTAATTTAGATATGTTTTTAAGACGGAAGAATGCAGTTTTACAGATACTAGACACGTGACTTTCAAATGAAAGATTTTTATCTAAGAGCACACACACACACACACACACACGCACGCACGCACACACACACACACACACACACGCACGCACGCACGCACACACACACACGCACGCACGCACGCACGCACGCACGCACACACACACACACACACACACGCACGCACGCACGCACGCACGCACGCACGCACACACGCACACACACGCACACACACACCCAGGTTCCTAACCGACGACGAAGACTTAACAGAGCAGCCATTAAGTGTTAGACAGTATTCTGGGTTATTACGTGTGGAAGTTTTTTGTCCAATAATTAGAATCTCTGTTTTTTCAGAATTTAGTAGTAGGAAATTACTAGTCATCCAGTGTTTTATATCAGCTATGCATTCCGTTAATTTTGTGAATTGGTAAGTTTTGTTGGGTTTAGAAGAAATATACAGCTGAGTATCATCAGCATAACAGTGAAAGCTAACTCCATGTTTCCTAATGATATCTCCTAATGGTAGCATGTACAGAGTGAACAGCAGCGGTCCTAGTACTGAGCCTTGTGGTACGCCATACTGAACTTGTGATCGATAAGACATCTCTTCATTTACTGCTACAAACTGATAACGGTCAGTTAAATATGATTTAAACCATGCTAATGCAACTCCACTAATGCCAACATAGTTTTCTAGTCTATTTAAAAGAATGTTGTGGTCAATAGTATCAAATGCAGCACTAAGATCGAGTAACACTAATAGAGAGATACAACCACGATCGGATGATAAGAGCAAATCATTTGTGACTCTGATGAGAGCTGTCTCGAATCTTCCTTTTCTGTCAAAGATATTAGAAAAAGCAGTATTCTTGAAAGAAATGATATCTGCGAGGATTTTCAGTCCGGATTTAGATCGTATCATAGTACCGAAACAGGCCTGTAATTGACTAATTCTGTACAATCAAGTTGTGGTTTTTTAACAAGCGGTTTAATCATAGCCAGCTTAAAGGTTTTTGGTACGTATCCTAGAGACAAAGATGAATTAATGATATTAAGAAGAGGATCTATGACCTCTGGAAGCATCTCTTTCAGTAGCTTAGTCGGTATAGATGTTATTCGATCTGCGTCATCAATGTTTGCGGCGGCCATATTGTTGACATAGAAATCACGGCAACTGTCAGTCTGTCAATTGACAAGCGAGGCAGCGTCGGTTTTATCCATGGTATTATCACTGTATTTTTTTTTTTAAAACAGCGTGATGGTGTGTTGTGTAATACACGTCTGTTCTAACAACAGCAATAAGAACCCCGGAGTTAGTTTTTATGATTTCGATAAGTTACCGACTGTCAGAAAACGTGAAGGGAAGGAGACAGAGTTGAGCCAGCGCAGGAGAGGCTAGCTAGGATAAATAGGCTAAACTTTCAGCCAACTCACCACAGCAAAGTCTGTTCCCATCATTTTACCACAGGTTTCACACATAATCCGTGTGCAATGCGTGTGCGGTGCGGTGCGTTGCGTATACGGTACAGAAGCAGGACGCGCTACAGTGCTTTAGTGCTATTATATGCTGCGTTTGCAGTGCGTATAGCTAGCTAACTGATCCGCGGCTGTAACGTTACCACAAACACCCCGGTACTCACTATTTTTTATTTTAACACATACTCACTATTTCAACAACGTAAGCCAATTATTCCATGCATTACTTCTATATATTAAGTTGCTCAAGCAATTGGTCAAATATGTAACCATGTTAAACATTTACATGAACGCACAAACATTTTAAATGAAAACTTAAAATTGACAAAAACAACCGACTCTCATGTCTTTTCTTTTGCATTTACATTTTAATACAACAAATCTTGCATGTCACAAAGAACTTGTTTTTCCACCTCCACGAATGAGACGAGTGTCGTTCATTATGTTGCCTTGTGTTGAGGTGCATTGTAGTTTGTATACGGATACTGTATGAACGAGATCGTTATAAATATCCGGATAAGGCTGGCAAAGTGGCAATAAGGACGGATCTTTACTTAAGCTTGATTGGTGTGGACCCACACCAAATAATAGCATTATCTTCTCTTACCGTCGAGATGAAGCCAGGCTACTGCTCCCCTCAACTCAAATCTGCGCGCGGCTAGGGGCAGCAGGACAGTTGTCATGTCAACAATATGGCCGCGGTTAGCTACTTCCGGTGTTTGCGAATAAGGTCTATAGGATCTAACATACATTTTGTCGATTTAGATGAATTAACGAGTTTGCAGAATTGTTAGAAAATTCTTCCTCTCCTATGGCAACAAATAAGCCAAATTTTTCCTCAGGGAGACTACAATGCACTCCCTGATGCGATACTGTAGACGGTTGCATAGTTATAATTTTGTCCCTGATATTATCGATCTTATAAGTGAAGAAGTTCATAAAGTCATCACTGCTGTGTTGCTTGGACACTTCTGAGCTTGAAGCTTTCTTTTTCGTTAGTTTAGCTACTGTTTCAAATAAATACCTAGGATTATGTTTATTTTCTTCTAATAGGTTTGAAAAATAAGCAGATCTAGCAGCTTTTAAAGCCTCTCTGTAAGCAATCGAGCTCTCTTTCCACGAAATCCGAAATACCTCTAGTTTAGTTTTCTTCCAGTTGCGCTCCATGTTTCTGGCTGCTCTCTTAAGGGCCTGAGTGTGTGTGTGTGTGTGTGTGTGTGTGTGTGTGTGAGTGTGTGTGTGTGTGTGTGTGTGTGTGTGTGTGTGTGTGTGTGTGTGTGTGTGTGTGTGTGTGTGTGTGTGTGTGTGTGTGTGTGTGTGTGTGGGTGTGTGGGTGTGTGTGTGTGTATGAGTGTGCTCGTTGTACCACGGCGTTGGACTATTTTCTTTAATCTTCTTTAAGCGCAACGGAGCACCTGTGTCTAAAGTGCAGGAAAAGAGAGAGTTAAACGTTTGTCACAATATCGAGTCCATCAGACTACACTCCCCACTGACCACAGCTATAGCCCCAAAACTATTATTACAGCAATGCACAAACATCTAAAACACACTCATGATGAATCACTAAAAGCAAGTTTTGACCTCCAAAATAAACTCCAATGTTACTCGACCCTCAATAGAACTACTAAATTGGCCAGTTATCTATTTATTAAACATTTTAAAGAAAGACAAATCCTCTCCAAAAACAGATTAAGTGACCATGATCTAGAGATAGAGAGAGGAAGACGTAGACAAACATGGACAGAGAGAGAGCAGAGCAGTGTGTGTGTGTGTGTGTGTGTGTGTCGCGCTACAGACGCTGGTCTCGTTGACTGTGGTGTTTAATGAACTGCTATATTCCCCCTCTCACACTCACACCCCCACAGTCCCACAATCCTTTGTAAAGCTCGGCTCGCTCTTATTAGCGGTCGCCTAGCAACAGAGCGCGCGCGGGGGGTAAGAGGATAATCATCATCATCTGAGGCTCCGCCCACTCCACTGACTCACACACTCACACACACACACACACACTCTCTACTGACTCACACACAAAGTTTAAATACAAGCAGTTTTCTTAGAGAAGAGCCTATTCATATTTTCCAGGAATTATTTAAATCTAATCAGTATATTTTCTTCTAACCTTTCTAATATTTTCTTAAATAGACAAAGCACGACTCAGGTTCATTAAATAGAAAAATAATCAAGATTTATTTTTGGCTTTCACAAAAGTATATCACACACACACACACGAGGATGCTTTCATCACCTGAACAGAAGGAGCC